GTTCCATCATATACCACGCTCACGGTGCCGGATCGGTTTCGGTGAATCATTGAGGGGCGATCGCTTGTGCCTTTTTACTACAACCCCTGAAGTGCAGCATGTGCTTAACCGTTGCTTAACAATAAGACAACCTTCTTGAATGCGAACTTAAAGCGAGGGTCTCAAGAAGCGCGAAACCAAATCCAAAAGGTTTGGTTTTGGGTTGACGAAATTAGCGAAACAGTAACAGCGCTCAACCAGCACCCCTCACCACACCTCGCAATTTTCGAGACCCCCCAAAACCAAAACCTTTGGATTTGGTTTTCTGCTTCTTGAGACCCTCGCTTTAAGGGCGGCGGCAATGCATGGTAGTGTTTTGCTAACTCAGCGGTGCGGTCGTTTCTTTCCACACATTTGGAATCACCCATGGCGTATGCGGCCCTGTGAAAGAAATGAGGGGATGACGACGTAGTGACGACGCGCACTTGCGAGGCTGGCGAGCAGGTTCAAGCGTACCAGCTTGAGTCACCACGACCACGTCCGCATCCACATGTTCGTTGTCGTCGAGTCGCAGGTGCCACAGACCCCAGGTGAAGGGCAACCAGGTGAAAGGGTCGTTGCCTGTATTTGGATGGTATTGGGCGCAGGTTGGGGGGTGGGCCAGGTGGACACCTGGTGTACGTGATTTAGAAAGCCTACTGTCAGGAATTGCGATTCCTCACACGGAGCTTTTTTGGAACTTGTCCGGAACTTATATAATTCCACTTCCCACTCCCCGCTGCTTCCCGCTCCTCACTGATTTTAGCAACGCGCTTTCCGCTCCGGCTCCCTGCTTGTTAGGCTGCTGTTAGGTCGATCAAATGCTCTTGGTGTCAACTTATACATGTTTTATATGTAGCAGCTATAGGCTAGACGGCTACGTGTTCTTAGCGAGTACATTTTTCAACCATATTGCTCACTTGTATCCCTTGCTTGAGTTCACTTCGTTACTCTGGCATGGTGTCACGCTAGGTATGACCCACCCGCCCGCTCTTCCGGCCTAGCCTACCGTAGAGCGCCCCTACCCTAGCTTGCCGCACCTGCCCTAGCCCGCCGCGCCGCTCTGACCTTAGCTCGCCACGCTGGCCCTAGCTCGCCACGCTGGCCGTAGCTTGCCGTGCTGGCCCCTAGCTTGCCGCGCTGTGCCTTGTTGGCCCCTAGCTCACCGCGCCGTGCTGGCCCCTAGCCGGCCGCGCTGGCCCCAACTCGCCACATCGGCCCCAGCTCGCCGAATCGGCCCCGTCTCGCCGCGCCGCCCTAGCTCGGCGCACGACCCCCAGCTCGCCGTTGGCCCCAGCTTGCTGCGTCGGCCCCATCTCATCCTTATTGGAGTTGTTAAGCCTTTATTTCTCAGTGCCTTTATGGGAGCAGCAATGGCTTTGATGAGACCCACATATTGCCATGAATACCACTCTCTAGTTGCGAGCATCTATCATACAGTAGTAGCACGGCTCTTCTGCTATTGCTGCGGCTTCTACTGCTGCTGCCCATCCTTGCCTTCCATCTCACCCCTCTCTGCCCCTATCTGCCTTCCCTATCTCCTCCTCTCTGCCCCTCTTTGCCTGTTCCCACCCACTCGCTGCAACCCCTTGTTACGATAAGGAATCGGTTACATTCCTGAAAGTGACACTCGAGCTGTAACACTTGTCGAGGCAAAGCTAATGATGCGAAACACGAAGTGGAACGGTCGTTGACCGTTAACCGATTGTCGAATCGACAGAAGCTCAAGGGTCCTTCACAACGACAAGGACACATAACTGACCCTATAATACAGTGCAAGCTGTACATACCCAAGTCGTGTGCAGTTACCCAACCGGATCTGAAACCTCAAAGGGAACGTACCCCTGTTAAGTGCATCTTAGTTAGACTCCTCGCATTCTCTTGTACCACTATATGGACCCTGTATTTTTTTTTGTTATAATCAACACTGTTCAGTTACATTCATTATGACAGGGTTCATCGACCAATCAATCGCTTCCGTAAAGCGCACTACTGCAGTTCAATCCTGAAGATCCTACGGACTATATTGGATCGCTTCATGGTCTCCAACTTGAAACCAAGGGACCCTCGATTTTTTCTAAGGGGTTGTTAGCCTTACTCAGCAGAACCAGGGCAGTTCCATAATGCAGCCGCGCTGTTCAGAGCGAACAAGCGCGAGCACACGATTGGCTTGGAAATTTGTAGGACAGAGTTTGCGAGCTGTCACAGGTCGCAGGTACTTGTGCGACCCCATTGCCTCGTCATTCTCCAAGTGGACCCAACTTGATTTTCAAGTTGGACCCGGGTTCACTACTCATGCAAGAACACAACTGGTTTTCTGATTGGTCGAATTTCTCCCCACCTAGAGCTACCAAAGGAAGGCGTGTTTACTTCGACCACCCGCCAACCACACTTTTCCCATTGCGTGTCCAGTCTTTTGAGTTTGACTGAAGCGCGACCAATCGAGGTCGACAAAATACGGTACAAACAGAACCCTGTCCACATATCCGAATTTGTCGTTCGGGCAGGTGCTTTTGCTGCTGAGTGACTGCCCGCCCCGAAACGGCGTTTTCTTCTGCCCGCTCGCTTGTGCCCCCTATATGTTCGAGGGTCCCAATCAAGTTGGGCCCAACTAGAAAGATGGGTCACTATTATAACCTCTCGCTTTAAGTGGCGAAGCCCTGCAAACAACACAATCGAAGTTCTTCGTTGTTTCTAAGATCAGAACAAGCTCTATCTTCGATGATCACGATTTTTACACTTGGAGTTTCGAGTTCGAGCTACTACTGCAGAGTGCTCTCATCTTCTGCTACTTGGACGGATCTGACCCCGGTTCGACGATCGACACTGAAGATGCAATACAACAATATTACAACGAATCGCTCATGGCATGCAACATCCTTCTACGGAATTTATCTGCTTCTGAGCATCTTGGAATTCGATCGTTCAAGACACGCGCCGCTGTGGCATGAGATTCCTAACTGTATCTGACAAACATGTATCAGCCGAAGGACTCCGTGTCGTCGAGTCGACTGCTCGGCCAACTACTAGAAGTGAAGATGGTCTCAGGAGAGAAGGCCAACACTTACATCAATCGCTGCAAAAGCATCTGCGATCAGTTCGTCAAGCTCGGGAACACAATCATTGAAGACATGTTCGTAACGATCGTGCTCGCTGGACTAACCCCTTAATGGCGACCGTGCAAGGCACTATTACGCCAGCAGGGCGAAATTTCCTAAGCGACCCTTTGCGCGACATTGCTGGCTGAGCAGCAAGATATGGACCTCTACAAGGAGAGAGCTCCGCGCAAAGAGAGGCTTGCCTTCTACTTGGGCCAGAAGGAGCCACGCCGCGATACGCACAATCGCCGCTACTTTTGCAAACACTGCAAAACCTTCGAACATTCTACTGAGCGCTGCCAAATCCAAGCGGGAAGCAGCGCAAGGCCATCATTCCAATAGAGGAGACCCATCGACCCTTCCCCACAGGACCCGCGCCAAACCAATCGCCCGTCCCACACAGACCAGTGACCGGTCCCGCACCCTCCTGCACCCTCGGACCTACGTCCAACTCAGCCTACCTATCGCCAAGTCTTCATGGCGATGCAAACCCAAGGGGCCACACGTCGAGCGAATCGACGTCGCCGCATGCCGCAACCATGCTGAATTCAAGGAGACTTCGCCCGGCCATAACGGCCTACGACAACAACAACCCCTACGACGAGCATGGCAACTACCCTTTTCGACCGGTGCCCTTTTCGACCGGTGCACTTTTCGACCGGTGCCCTTTTCGACCGGTGCCCTTTTCGACCGGTGCCCTTTTCGACCGGTGCCCTTTTCGACCGGTGCCCTTTTCGACCGGTGCCCTTTTCGACCGGTGCCCTTTTCGACCGGTGCGCTTTTCGGCCGGTGCGCTTTTCGACCGGTGCGCTTTTCGACCGTGGAATGGAATCTACCAGTCCCCCTACAGGAGCTGACCCCCTACATCACCGACATGATGTTCGGAGGAGACAGACAAGACTGGGACAGCTTCTCAAGGGAGCATCCCATGCACAAGTCGAAGCGACCTTAGCTGCTGACTCGTAGGACCGCGATGATCGAGCGCAACAACCGCCACAACCACAACACCTAGTACCTGGAAAGTTGCTGCAGACAGCATATTGTCGGATCGGCACTCTTCATCTCCAATGTCATCCAAACCCCGGCACCAGCCTACATTACCGTAGCCAACAATGGAAGGCTGGTGGCCAGGCAACAGGGTATAATCATCCTACAGGCGCACAACACCCTCAACCACATCACTATGAATGACGTGCTCATCATTCAGAATCTGCGCTACGACCTACTCTCAACAGCGCAGCTGATGTCTTGCAATGTTGAAATCAGCACCGAACCTCAGACACGGCACCTCTTGCTGCAATACCGGAAACCAAATCAGCCCAACAAACCAGTAAACCCACCTCGGTAGCAGTCGACGGAGTCTACACTCTAGACTTCGACATCCTCGACTACAATGGCGACAGCCACGAGCTTATCGATCTAGTCCCCCTTAAATTTGCCTACCGGGAAAAGAAGGATAGGACTCACCTTGAAGGCCGCTCGTGGGTCACTCACCATATGCACCCATCTGAGACCAATCTGCACAACCCTGGACCAGACGGCATCTGCCGTACCTGTCGAACCCCGACAGCCTCCTCCACCAACATCGCTAGCACAAAGCTCGAAACTCTCGAGGAAGATGAGACGGAGTCCCTCCAGAGGTCGGCATGACACCTTCAGAACTACCTGTAGCCGTCACCATAGTTCCCCCACCAAGAACCACGGATCCTTCCCATGACTGAAGGCAACGTTTGGAAAGCGTTCTGGTCTACATGGGACCAGGCTCCTTTGACGAGATTGGACGAGCAACCCCATGAGAGCTAGCTACTCACATGGCCTTCAACCCCAATCGGAGAGAGCCCAAGCCATGGGAAGCAGCGGATATGGCCACAGAAGTAGCATCCGACTTGGATGTACGGGCAAGCTCTCTCAGAACCACCGCTGCCCGACACGACCAATGTCCCCAGAAGCAGTCGAGGCAGCAGAAGCGACCATGGTCACAGCAGCAGCACGAGAAGTAGCAAGGGCAATAGCCAGAGCAGAAGCAGCAGAGGCAGCAGTAGCAGCAGCAGCAACAACAACAACAACAACAACAGAAGCAGAGGAGGGAACAATAATCGGAGTAGCAAATGGAGCAGCGGCAGCAGCAGAAACGGAACCCCCAATCCCCGAACCAAGAGTCGAGATCGGGGCACCAAGTAGCTGGGGTACATCTCTAGGCGGAGGTAGCTAGGGCAGAGGCCTTATGACAGACACGGACTCTGATCAGGACAACATCTCTCCCCATAACCCTTGGCCCAGTGCACCAACCGCTGAAGAATGGGGCAGAGGCCCACGGATCCCCTGGGCCCATAAACCTACTACAGGACGCTGGCAACTCAATCACAATGAATGTTACAGTAGAGGAGACGATGAGGACGACGAAGGCGAAAAGGGGAGAATCGCACCAGACATGTATCTTCACCTTGGTCGCCCTTCTCAAGCCCTTGGAACTTGGGCCGAGTACGACGAAATCCCTGATAGGGAAAACACTCTCCTCTGGAGAAGCTACAGTACCACAGATCTCCACCGCCTGAACCTCACAGCCCTCACCCACTAACTCCGACTCCTGTTGGTCCCAATGCTGAAGCTGACCTCCAAGAGACCAAAATCATCAGAGGTCCACCACCGCCTCGTCGCCCTCGCCTGATAACAGACGCTGAAGAGATAGACAAGTGTGTAGCTGGATCAAACGGCTCTCCTCAAGACAGAGAAATCACAGTGGACCCCATAGATCGCGAGCTCCTCACCCTCGCTATCACAGCCCCTGCGTTCGTTGACACACCTCTAGCACCTTCCTGATGACTCCTACCAGCGCTACCAGCGTACTCGAGGACATCGAGCCTCCAGGGACATTTGGCACCAGCAACTTAGCCACCCCTCCAGAGTCACTCTCAACAACTCACTCAAGGCCAACATCTTCGCCCCTAGAGCACTCCTAGACTTTGATGGCCATGAGCTTCAAGAAAGCCAAGCCCCTAGCACCTGTATAGTCTGGCCGGAAGCTGCCCTCACACACAGCCCATTTCCAGATCGTCCTCGCTGCCTCAACTGCTACACACCACTGTACAAGGACTACAGCGACTACTTCGTCCTCACACAAGAAGGAATCTATGGGGAGCAGTACACACAGACCTTCATCGATGCCGTCACGCATTACATTTAGGCAGTCAACATTTAGAATAGAGGGGGATTACTCAACATCTTTCAATCTTGGCTTGCTCTTGCTGAGCACAAGTCTGGAAAGAAACTGAAGTACTGGCAGCCGGATGGATCTCGGGAGTTCCGGAGTGAGAAGCTGCAGACCCACCTCCAAAAACTCGGGATCGAGCTCAGGCTCTTCCTGCCCTATGCTCACCCGCAACAAGATATCATTGAACGGACCAACTGTACTCTACAGACCCAAGTATGAGCAATGATGCTCCAGTCTGGACTGCCCATAGAATACTGGCCCTACGCGATGCACCACATAGTTCTACTACAAAACCTATTGTCCACCACCACCAATGACGGGAATCTATCACCCTATATGGCGTGGATAGGGAAGCCAACTGACAGCACCATGCTATGAGTCTAAGGTTGCATGGTCCAATACCGCCCTCATCAAGCCACTACCGGCAAGTTCAAAATGCGAGACTGCTGGGGGGTACATCTCTGCATCTCTCACGCGTACCAAGCATGGACGATCCAAGACCTGGAAAACTCCAGCATCGTACCCTCCAAGGATATCATGTTCTACGAAGGACTCACCATGAAGCAGTTCCAGAATGATCGACGCGCCAATCGACAAGCAGCCTATGCGCGAGGAGAACGCAGCTTCGCCTCTCCAAAAGACGAAGCCGACGCTACCCGCTTGGACCAGGACCCACCTCACGAGCACCCCGGGGAGAACCCTCGTTTCGACGATGATGACGACGCGGACGACGCTCCTCTCGACCCCTCACGCGACACCTAGCACCGCGACAGCACCATAATCACTCGCAGAATCCCAACCTGCTGCCGATTCGGACGACAACGTGCAAGAGGTCACCGACGACGGGCACCGCAACATCCGATTCTTTGACCTTCACATTCTTGGCCTTCATGCAGCAGTCCACAAGAGCCCCTCCGTGATCAAGCTTAAGACACCATGATAGGCTATCACCAGACCTCATCGCGCCAAATGATGCAAGGTTATGGACGCGGAAATCGCCGCATTGTGCTCCCGTGACACCGCGCAGTAGTAAAAGAGAGGGAAATAATATCTAGAAAATGGGTCTACCGCGTCAAAACAGACGCACAAGGAAACCTCGAGCGATGCAAAGCCCGATGGGTCATACATGGATACGACCAACGCCACGGCATTGATTTCGACCTCACCTTTGCGTATGTTAGCCGCCACACCTCCGAGCGCATACTGCTCGCCATCGCAGCATGCCGACACCTCGAGCTCCGATAGATCAACGTTGAGAATGCGTTTCTATACGCAAAGGTTGACGCTCTGATATTCGTCGAGCAACCTCACACCTATGGCGACGTGGACCCCTGCGTCTGCCAGCTACAAAAGTGCCTCTATGGGGTTAAACAGGCACCCCGTCTCTGGCAGCAGCACCTCCACAAGTTTCTGGTGGAGATTGGCTTCGTTCAGCTACCGCACGACCCGGGGATGTACCGTCTCCACTTCCGCAAGGACTACATCCTCCTCACGGTCTACTTCGACGACTTGCTCCACACCGGCACCAAGCCGGACCTGCTCAACCAGTTCGAGCGCAGCCTGGACCAGCACGTCGACATCACTACCTCCAAGACCATGACTCTATTCCTCTGGCTCAACATCTCCTACACGCCAGAGGCTATCCACCTCTCCGCATCAAGGTATGCCGAGACTCTCGCAAAGAAATTCAACCTAACACCGGTGCTGCTCTCCACACCCTACCTCATTCTTGCCGCCGGCTACAAGCCCGGCACTTAGACTCTTGCTTCTGCCGCTCACCAACTCTACCATCAGCAGCTTGGATGCCTACTATTCGCCGCCGTTACGTGCCGACCCGACCTATCCTACATCGCCAGCCAGCTCACATAGTACTCTCGGCGACCTACAACGAGAACCTCCGAGATCTACAACGAGCTCTCCTCTATTTCATTTCGACTCCCCACGTCGGCCTCACCTACTCCACCATCACCTCACCTACATTCCAACTCGCTGGCTACGTTGACGCACACCCCGCTAACCGCCGCTCTCGAACAGGATTCCTCTTCCGCCTGGAGCCTACTGGACCTATCTCCTGGAACTCACAAAAGCAAGAGCTGGTTGCCCTCTCCTCGGCTGAAGCAGAGTACATCGCAACAACCTTCGCCGTTAGCGAAGGTCTTTACCTATTGCTGCAAGAGGCAAAGGTCAGCCGAGCTCTGTGGAATCTCCATGCGCGCCAAGCTTGAGCACCTTTAGCAATGAAGGGGGGTGTTACAATAAGGAATCTGTTACATTCCTAAAAGTGACACTTGAGTCTTAACCCTTCATCGCTAACGACGCGAGACACGAAGTGCAACGATCGTTGACCGTTAATTGGCAGTCGAACCGACAGAAGCCCAAGGGTCCAGCATGACAGCAAGGACAAACTGACCCTATAATACAGCGCAGGCAGTTACCCGAGTCGTGTGCAGTTACCCGAGTCGGATCTGGAACCTCGAAGGGAACGTACCCCTGTTAAGTGCATCTTAGTTAGACTCCTCGCATTCTCTTGTACCACTATATGAACCCTGTCTCAGATCTCACCTCATGCGCTTGCCTCGGTGTCGCCAACGGAGAAGCCAGGTGGCCTGGCGATACTGGTATTCTCTCTTGACATCACACTCACGGATACTGTAGCGGATGCCAGCGGTAGACTATTGAGGGGGAAGATCGGATGGAAGGACTTGGAGATCACGTTAGTAGCCATGCATTTCCCTGCAAATGCGACGGATAGGGGTTCCTTTTACAGGAATAGGTTCGATAGTTTCATTCGGGGGGTACAGGGCACACGCCATATGATCCTTGCCGGGGATCTCAACGTTGTGGATGATCTTGCTTTGGACAGATCATCGGGAGCAGGGTCAAGGACTGAGAATGACGAAGTGTTATCGATCTGCAACGGTTTTGACCTACACGACTCCTTCCGGGCCCTCCACCCCACAGAAAGGGAGTACACGTTTTACTCCAAGGCTCCAGTTTGCGGATCGACAGGGCTCTGGTGTTACTCTCATTGCTTCATAGAGTAACAGAGGCGAGGCATGTCATGTTGCCATGCTATGTCTCGGATCACTGGTTTATGGTCAAGATTCGTATCTGCAAGGAGGGGAAGGAGAATAGAGGACCAAGGTTATGGCATTTTCTGGCAACACACGTCTCAAGACCCGGGGTCGGGAAGATTGTCGCGGCGGTGGTACAGACGAACAAGGAGTGTGGGGGTAGTTTCGACTCGCTGGTGACGACGCTGAAGGCGGGATTGTGGGCATATGAGAGGGAAGAGCAGAAGAGCTTTATGGCTACGCTCCTCCACATGGAGGAGAAGGTTGAGAATCTGAGGCTGGAGGTCATGGCAAACCCCTTGTGTCATGAACGGAGGTCGCAGCTGTTCAGACAAGAGACTCTTTACAAGGCTTTTATGGACAGTCGCAGGGACGGACTGTAGTTGGATGCAGGAATTACGACAGAGGTACATGGGGAGCTACCATCTCAGTATCTTTTGGCGAAAGTCAAGGCCAGGAAGCGAAGGACATCGATATCAGCAGTACAAAGGAACGGGATATCTTACTTTGGGGTGAAGGAGGTTTTGAAGGCAGCCTCACAATATTTTGCAGAGGCCTTTGGGGGAGTGGAGCCCCAGAGTGCACAGCGGAAGCCGTGGGTCTTCACCTCTGATAGGGTGTTCTCGGATGCAGATGCTGCACTGATGTGTGCAACATGGAGTGAAGTGGACGTTAAGAAGGCGATCGCGGAGATGGCGTCTAATAAGTCCCTGGGTCATGACGGGCTTTCGAAGGAACTGCAAGAAGCTCAATGGGATCTGTTGGGGGGATAGGTGGTGGAGCTGATTCGGAGTTTTGAGCGGACTGGCCATCTGTCGTAAAAAACGGACTGAAGGCCAACAAATAGCGTGGCGAACTACAAACCGATTTCCTTACTGAACACGTCCTAAAATGTTATAACAAAGGTAATGGCCAATA